ATTTATCTTTTAGTCTGTGTCAAAAAAATAAGATGGAATAGATGAAGTTTATTAACCTTAATTCATCCCCTTTAGCTGACTTGGTTGAACCGATTTCATTTGGATTCCTGTCAACTTCCACCCTGCAGCGACGTGAAAAAAACACATTGATGTTTCTCACACAGCTGCCATGCTCTCAGGCTCCTCTGTGTCAGCGATTACTCCTGTAAGTCATTAATGAAATTAGGTTACCTCCGCCTGCAGACATTCTCTTTTCATTTAAAATGCACCAGTTCAGATCTTTATAAGACATCGTTATTGAAACTAGGGGACCTGAAATCAGATAATGCACAAAACAATCTGAATGAAAATCAGAATTTCTTTATTAATCCCTTGTGGAAATAATTTTCTTTCAGGGCACCAATTTACAAAATTTGGATATTACTGTTTTTGTTTAATTTAGTCATTAAATTGGTGTTTAAAAATATATATACTTTTGCAGTTTTTTCCTATAGATCTTGAATGTCATGTTACAGCCTGTGTTATATGGGCTTTTCCAGATGGATTATGTCTCCCAGGGATTCCAAACTTAGTACTGAAATTTTGTACATTCCTCTTGGCAATACAACTCACATTCAGTCGGATAATGTCCGAGGACATTAAACCTTTTCCAAGTTTCTCAATTAGATTCAGGTTAGGGCATCTTACTTTCCAAGACACATATATAGTGTGATCTGGACTATATATGTGTAGCTCTCTATGGCTGTTTGTTTGGGGTTATTTTTATCTAGAATCCTAACCTCTAAAAGAACTAATGGTCTTTTGGCCTAAAAGTAGCAGAAACACTGCAAACAAATGCTGTGACAGAACTAAAGCTTCAAACTTCAAATCCCTTTAGATGCAGGAATAACAAAAATAATTGATTTTGGCTTAGAAAAAATACCTAACCACTAATGATACAATATTTATGTTTATGTAGAGCTAATTCAATAAACAGCAGGTCACAGAGCAAAATAAATAAACCAGAAACTTCAGTAGCACAACATCAGGAAAGGTAGAGCTTTTTTAAAATGTTTTTCTTTTTAGTGTTTATATCAGCAGTTAAGTACGCACCCTAGATTCTATCGCTGGAAACCAAGTAATCTAACAATATAATGAAGGTTTGCATCATAGTTTTATAGTCAAACAGGTTTAGCAAGGTCGATTACCATGGTTTCTTACTAGTCTCCAGTCTCAGTATGTTTAGCCTTAGTATGCATGTTCAAAAACATCACAGCTTTAGTAGTAAATTCGTATTCAGGTACCCTGGGTCGCAGGGACAGAGATTCCCAGACTTCACTCTCCCCAGAAACCTCCTCCAGCTCTGAGACTGAGGCCAGCTGAGATAGTCCGCCAACATATTCCCTCCAGCATGTCCTTGGTCGTCCCCTGGGCCTCCTCCCGGTGAAGACGTGCCTGGAACATTTCCCAAGGGAGGCGTCCAGGAGGCATCCGACAAAGATGTCCAAGCCACTAAAGCTGCCTCTTTTTAACGTGGAGGAAAAGCGGTTCCACTCCGAGCCTCTCCCGAATGACCAAGCTCATCACCTTATCTCTCAGGGAATGCTCGGGCACCCTACGGAGAAAGCCAATTTCAGCCCTATGTATCAGGATGTTGTTCTTTTGGTTATGATCCAGATTTCATGACTGATTTCATAGGTAAGGGTAGAAACATAGACCAACCTGTTAATTGAGAGCTTTGCCTTTTGGCTCAGCTCACTCTTCACTACAACAGCAGCATCTTTATTTTAGCAGCAGCAGCACCGATCCGTCTATCTGTCTCCTGCTCCATTCTCCACTCACCTGTGAGCAGGATTCCAAGATACTTGAACTCCTCAACATGAGGCAGTGACTCGCATCCAACCTGAAGGGAACAAGCCACCTTGTTCCGGTCAAGAACCAGGGGCCTTGGAGGAGCTGATTCTTTTCATTCTCAATAGTGAAATTATCTTGTCAAATTACAGCCGTTTGTTGAAGCTAAAATATGCAAGCTGTAAGACATATTATAAAAACATTTTTACTGTTTAGTTTTAGCCAATCAAACTACTTTATTCCCAAACTGAAGAGTAATGGGGCCTCATTTGACAGATAGGTTATGTTAGATTAAAAACATTTTTACTGTTTAGTTTTAGCCAATCA